TGTCCCTATCTTACATCAATTCACCCGTCGTTTGCTATCGCTGATCTAATATTGGCACCCACTTACTGACGCTCTCCTGATTCGATAGTAACACCGGTTTCCTTCTGGGAATTCCTTAAACCAAACATGTACCTTCACATGAACTTCCACAGGGCTTCGTGTACGATTATAGGCTCCTTTTTAGGTTAAAGAGTATTCTACCTCCAGCCACACTCGAACCATTGACCTTGTCTGTGGGGGGACAGGAGCTTATCCATTAAGCTATGTGACCCGAACCCAATAATTGTATTTATACATTTGCGATATTACTATCTTATACCCGATTTAAATAGAACTAGATATGATGACCGAAAAATGTAATAAAAATGTTGTAACTTATTACAAATAAATGTAATTATAGATTAGCCAATTAAAGCTATGACAAAAATTAGCGTAACATCGGATCGATCCATCACTACTTTAAATGTTCACTATGTATTTATAGATCATTCCTGCGGTAGAAATAATAATGATTTAAAGCATAAAGCTTGGAAATTTCAGAAGGAACCAAGTAGCAAAATTTTCTAATGAAAAAGGCAATTTTTGGGAAATTATTTCAAAATAAAAATTTACGATATAAGTTATTGCATTTCATAAATAATACTCTGTTGTACGAACATACTCACAAAGATATATTGGGTCAAAAAAGTGATTGGCGTAATAGACTAGGTGTAATGATAAAAAAGTTATAGAGAAATTGACGCCAAAAAGTTAGAAAGACATTATAGAAGAAAGAAAAAAAAATGGATTATCGTTATCGTTTGGTACCATACAGCGTGGACTAAAATACCAAGGGCACTTTACATTTTAAGCTGTATATATGGGTATTATAGTCGGAGGGATACTATGGTCAGCGTGGCACTATATGAGTGCTGGAGTAATATTTTCTTACATATATCAAAAACTCACCAAAAAAAATGCAATTAATCCATCTTGAGTACCCGGGTATTTAACATTCCAAAGTGCAATTAATCCATCCTTAGTATCCTGGCAATTTACATTCTAGGCCTCCGAAATCGTGAGAGTATTATTAATTAGGGTTTTTGGTCCACGCTGTACGGCAGTATTAAGTTAATTTTTGAAGATGCTAAAGCAATGTACCACCTTATTTTGACGTTTGAATCGTTTTATTAAAATTAAGGTTAGGAGTAGAGTAGAGTTAGTTTGGTGTTAACTTAATAAGAGGATTATTGGTAAAAATGCAATCCCAACATTCTTTTTAATTAGTGTCCCAAGATGGGTTTAGACTGCCGTTTTTCGTCTTTTTGCGTTTTTTTTATTTTTTGATTTCTCTGGGCTGATCTGTCTAAACAAAATTTCGCAATTCCGGTTGGTTAATTTGCACAAAAATGTCACTTGGGTACATGACTTTAGATGACCCCGTTTCTATTTAGAATTTTTTATTGTTCATCAATAAATATCGGCTAAATTAGTTAAAAGGTGTTACAGTGCGTATGGGATAATACACATTGCAATACATATATATATCCTAAATAAATTTGGTAAGTCTATATGTAACATATTCTTTCATTACGTCAAAAATGTCAATTGCAAAACGACTAGAAGAAATCGACAATCTATCGGATATTGCTAAAGTATCCAACGATGTTAATCAATTGTATTTAGAAAACAAGTCACAGGATTTTCTTTATGAAACTATTAAAGAAATGTATGATTTGTATAATGAGGGACATTCGAAAGGCAGAAGTTCTCGTTCAAGAATTGACACCTTGGAACAATTTCTAGTAAAAAAAAAGCAAAATCCGGATAATATTATTAAATATTGCTTAGATAATCAATCTAATCATAAGATTCAACTCGTTCTCGCAATTTGTTATGAGCGTGGAAAATGGATTGAAAAGGATAAACATAAGGCATTCATTCATTATCAAAATTCTGCAGAAATGGGTAATTCAATTGGAATATTTGAAGTTGGAAGATGTTGTCGACATGGAATTGGAGTTGAAAAGAATGAACATAAGTCATTTATTTATTTTCAAAAATCTGCAAAGATTGGATATGCTACAGCAATAAATGAAGTTGGATATTGTTATTATTACGGAATTGGAATTAAAATGGATAAACAAAAGTCATTCATTCATTTTCAAAAAGCTGCAGAGATGGGAAACTGCTGGGGGATATATAATGTTGGATATTGTTACAACTATAGAATTGGAGTTGAAAAAGATGAACAAAAGGCTTTTGAATATTATTTAAAAAGTGCTGAATATGGGCTTATTGTGGAATGCATCAAGTTGGTTGGTGTTATCAGGAAGGAGTTGGAGTAGGAAAGAATAAAGATTTGGCTTTTGAATGGTATTTAAAATCTGCTATTGCTGGACATGACTGTCATATTCATCAAAACTATTTCCAATGGATAAAATACGATGATTTTAAAAATATTGAAGCAGTAGATAGAGGTGGGTTTTCCATAGTGTATAAAACATCATATGGACCATTTGAAGAAGTTATAATCAAGATCATTAAAAATTCACATACAAATAAAAAAGATTTCTTAGATGAGGTATTTTATTCTTAATTTTTTTATTCGTAAATTATATTATTTATGAATTAGTTAAATATAATTTGTTTACTTTTAGGTAAATGCGTATCACGAAATTGGTGAATACTATGGCATACTAATGAATAAAAATACAGATTTTATTTTAGTGTTGAATGACGTAAAATTAGGATCATTGAATGAAAATCTTAAAGATATATTTAAATTGGAGTGGAAAATTAAACTAAAAATATTATGCGATATCATTTATGATCTATCAAATATTCATTTTAATAACTTTATGCATCGAGATTTACATTCTGGTAATATTTTACTAAAAGAAAGATATGAAGCTTATATTAATTTCGATTCATCAATATCGCCTGATGAAAAACAGGATGGTCATATTTGTGGAGTTTTGCCATATTTATCACCTGAGGTCTTGAAAGGTGAACAGTTTACCCAAGCCGCTGATGTTTACAGTTTTGGAATTATTATGATAGAAATATTAACTGGCCAAAGACCTTTCGATGGTTACAATTTTGATGCTGAATTAGCGGCGATGATTTGTCATGGATTACGTCCTGAATTTATTATAAGGACTCCAAATTGTTATATTAAATTAGCCAAACAATGTATTAGTTCAGATATAAAAAAAAGACCTATGGCCGTTGAAATTCTTAATACACTTAAAAAATGGAAAAAACTCATAGTTGCTAATAATAGTAACGTTAAGACAGATATGAAAGTAAGATTTAAGACTGTTGGGATTTTTAATAAACTTAAAAAATGGAAGAAAGCTGCCAATGATAGCGATGTTAAATTAGACAAACAATGTATTGATTTCGATGAAGAGATCAAACAGCAATTTTTAGAAGCTGATAAATCAATCACAGAATCGTCAATTATCACACAAAAACATGATAATATGATGTATCATTCTAAATTTATTGATACAAAAGAAATCGTTTCAGAGATTGAAAATTTTAGTATTAATCAATAACGTAAAACCAAGAGATCTGTATTGATAATAGTGATAACAATTTAATTTTTTATAAATATCAAAAATTAAAGGATATATTTTTATATTGAGAGTGTATAACTTCTAACAAATATTATAATTAAGCTGTTAATTTTTCATATATAATGAGTTTTATTAGTCAGGCCTTTCTATGCATACCCTCTATACACTCAAATTCTGGTTCAAGTGGATAAATAAATTACAAACAATTTTTAGAAATGCATATTATAAGTTTTAATAGTGCTAATCAGAAATTTCAACAGAAAAATAGTAATATTGCTGATTAGTTTCAAATAAATGAATGTCGGTAGAAATAACTTTAAAATTTTAAATGTTGTATTTTATTATTATAATTCGTACTTGAATTTGGATGGAGATAAACATTCAGTGAGTTTCTATCTGGCAGGTATAATATATATGTTAAGTTGAGGTGGTCGATCATCTAATTAAATCAAATATATGTCTAGTCTCATTGATTTTGTATAATGATAGATTTTTTGATTAAAAATTATGCCGCAGCTTTTTATACTAAAAGATTAATAAAATACTTTTAGGAATTTTACGCTTAATAATAAAATTTTTTTTACAGTCTTTATATATTTCGCTCTTTACTGCATTCTTAATAAAGTTATGTTTTCAGATTTTTATACCATAGTAAAATTTTTAATTAAAAAATATATTTCAATTTGGTATATATAAAATCCAATACATTTTTTTTAACCTGTATATTATACAAATTGGTAAGACTATATATAAAGCACAAATATTTTAACCTAATCTTGTAAAATAAGTGTTAAAACTTCTTTTTACCAAGTTTGGTGTCAATTCATCATGCAATTAAGGCTAAATTAATATTTAAATTTTCTAGAAAATGGCTAGACTAAATACGTGTCAATTACACTCTAGGAAAGCTGCACAAAAAAGTCTTGAGAGCAGATGTAAATCTACAATTTATAAGCATTGTCTTTCTAAAATGAGTCAACAAGAACTTATTACAACCAGCAAAATGATTGAAATGCCATTTAATAATATGTCATTATCAAAAGAAGACAGAAAACGAAATGAACTAATTTTTATGATCCAAAGGTTACCATCAAAGAAGTGTCATTAGCAAATCACTTGATTAGTACAATGTGATATCTAAAAGGTGCATGTAAATAGCAAATATTATCACTGTATTTACAAGACAAAGCATTGCAATTTATTCAGGAGTTTCTTAATAAATCAACATTATTTAACTTGTTAAAAGAGACTAATAGAGAATTATAATATAAAATTCAAAAATTATAAATTAGAATATACAATTAATTCATAAGACACAATTGATAGAATCAATAACTCAATATTTGCAAGATAAAAGTACACACCAGATTTCTCAAATCTGATCACTTGTTCAAAAATCTAAGTCTCTTTTCTCTGAAAATTTAAACAACATATTAAATTATTATTTAAAGAAAATAAATGATAATATTCAAGAGATTTAATTTAGTTGACTATACAAATGATCAAGTCAGACAGGTTTCTATATATTCAGCTACAGAGTATACAAAATTAATCTATGAAGTTCTTATTGGAGAACCATCTAAAACTTGGTTTTCATATAAAACACTATCTTTATGATATAAAGATATTTTCAAACTGTTTACCAATTTTTTTCTTAATAAAGTACAAGATGTTACTAACTACAGAATTATGATTGATAAATCCAAGCGTAAAGAAATTAAAAACTTTATAGTATATTTTATATTTGGAGCTTTATTTATAATGAACTTTAACCATAATGTCACATCTTCAGGATATTGATAAATATAATAGAAAGTCAGTATCAACAGCAGTTTAGACTATACTAGAAAATTCTCAAATTGATCCTAATAAATGTTTCATCTAGTTTTAATAATACTGCCTATATATCTGGCAGTAATAATAGCACAACTGTTCTTTTTAATAAATCTATAAGTCTAGATTAATAAGAATTAGTTGTGGGCTGCATATTATGTATATTGTATTTAAACATTTTGAACAGGCTGCATTTGAATAACTTTCTTTAACAATTGGTTTTACAAATTTTATGCATCTTTATAATCTAGCTTATCTAGCATAAAAATTGCATAATAGTTACAATATAAGTAATAATGATAAAGCTTTGAATATAACTGAAAAAAAATTAAAAAATTATATTAAAGTTACTTAGATTTGTACTTTACTTAATATCAGCAACCAATTTGTGGACATTGGGGTTATAAACTATTAACTCTTAAACAATATTTGGAATATTATTTATTATATTTGAAGTTTGCTAATTGGTTTATAAGCCTCCTTCAATGTATCTTCAAAAATGGCATCTTCTTTTATAATAGATGCAAAATCTAAAATTAACTGTTTAAACAAAATGCTTAATTTGATTTGAAATATGTTTTATAAACTGACTGTTGATTTAATTTATAGTTAGTTACAATACTACATCAAGAATATTGTATAAAAACAAGTTTAGAAAACTTTCAAATAATTATTGGGCATATGAAATTCCTAATAAAACACTCAAATGGATTAGTTATTTGGATGGTATTTAAAAAAACTTAAAACTTTTCTTCAGCAATGAATTGTTAGAGGCTGTTAATTTTTTAAATATAGAACAATTGAAAAAATTTTTAATAACTTTGAAAATGGAGTTCAAAAAACATTTGATTACTTTACGAAATAGATAACACCTTGGCATTATTTACCACTATCTATTTGCTGATTAGGAGGTAATTCTGGTCAGATATTTGCTTGAAACCTAAAAAATTTTTTAATACTTAACCTTAATGATATACAAACTTTAAACTTTAATTAATCAAAAGTTTTTTAGTAATTTTAAAAAATTTTTTTAATTAAGTTGATAAAGTAGATCTTTAAAAGTCTTTTTTAATTAAAAAGTATATTGCTAAAATTAATATTTGAGATTTTATTAAAAAATAAAGTTTAAAAAAATAAACGCAGGCAAATTTGCTTGTGTTACAATTAAAGGAATAAATATGAGGATAGTAATATAATAAAGAATTTATTGACATACAAAATTCTTCAAACTCTTGTTGAAAAGAATTATCTTTGTATAATAGTTTAGATAGTCTGAAGTTATTTGTATTAGAATTAGCAATGTCAACTTCTAATTCTTTTGCAAATTTGATCTCACTTTCATTTAGCACATTTATACACAGTTGTTTTAAAAAAATATAATGTAAGTTTCAAGCAAATATCTGACCAGAATTACCTCCTAATCAGCAAATAGATAGTGGTAAATAATGCCAAGGTGTTATCTATTTCGTAAAGTAATCAAATGTTTTTTGAACTCCATTTTCAAAGTTATTAAAAATTTTTTCAATTGTTCTATATTTAAAAAATTAACAGCCTCTAACAATTCATTGCTGAAGAAAAGTTTTAAGTTTTTTTAAATACCATCCAAATAACTAATCCATTTGAGTGTTTTATTAGGAATTTCATATGCCCAATAATTATTTGAAAGTTTTCTAAACTTGTTTTTATACAATATTCTTGATGTAGTATTGTAACTAACTATAAATTAAATCAACAGTCAGTTTATAAAACATATTTCAAATCAAATTAAGCATTTTGTTTAAACAGTTAATTTTAGATTTTGCATCTATTATAAAAGAAGATGCCATTTTTGAAGATACATTGAAGGAGGCTTATAAACCAATTAGCAAACTTCAAATATAATAAATAATATTCCAAATATTGTTTAAGAGTTAATAGTTTATAACCCCAATGTCCACAAATTGGTTGCTGATATTAAGTAAAGTACAAATCTAAGTAACTTTAATATAATTTTTTAATTTTTTTTCAGTTATATTCAAAGCTTTATCATTATTACTTATATTGTAACTATTATGCAATTTTTATGCTAGATAAGCTAGATTATAAAGATGCATAAAATTTGTAAAACCAATTGTTAAAGAAAGTTATTCAAATGCAGCCTGTTCAAAATGTTTAAATACAATATACATAATATGCAGCCCACAACTAATTCTTATTAATCTAGACTTATAGATTTATTAAAAAGAACAGTTGTGCTATTATTACTGCCAGATATATAGGCAGTATTATTAAAACTAGATGAAACATTTATTAGGATCAATTTGAGAATTTTCTAGTATAGTCTAAACTGCTGTTGATACTGACTTTCTATTATATTTATCAATATCCTGAAGATGTGACATTATGGTTAAAGTTCATTATAAATAAAGCTCCAAATATAAAATATACTATAAAGTTTTTAATTTCTTTACGCTTGGATTTATCAATCATAATTCTGTAGTTAGTAACATCTTGTACTTTATTAAGAAAAAAATTGGTAAACAGTTTGAAAATATCTTTATATCATAAAGATAGTGTTTTATATGAAAACCAAGTTTTAGATGGTTCTCCAATAAGAACTTCATAGATTAATTTTGTATACTCTGTAGCTGAATATATAGAAACCTGTCTGACTTGATCATTTGTATAGTCAACTAAATTAAATCTCTTGAATATTATCATTTATTTTCTTTAAATAATAATTTAATATGTTGTTTAAATTTTCAGAGAAAAGAGACTTAGATTTTTGAACAAGTGATCAGATTTGAGAAATCTGGTGTGTACTTTTATCTTGCAAATATTGAGTTATTGATTCTATCAATTGTGTCTTATGAATTAATTGTATATTCTAATTTATAATTTTTGAATTTTATATTATAATTCTCTATTAGTCTCTTTTAACAAGTTAAATAATGTTGATTTATTAAGAAACTCCTGAATAAATTGCAATGCTTTGTCTTGTAAATACAGTGATAATATTTGCTATTTACATGCACCTTTTAGATATCACATTGTACTAATCAAGTGATTTGCTAATGACACTTCTTTGATGGTAACCTTTGGATCATAAAAATTAGTTCATTTCGTTTTCTGTCTTCTTTTGATAATGACATATTATTAAATGGCATTTCAATCATTTTGCTGGTTGTAATAAGTTCTTGTTGACTCATTTTAGAAAGACAATGCTTATAAATTGTAGATTTACATCTGCTCTCAAGACTTTTTTGTGCAGCTTTCCTAGAGTGTAATTGACACGTATTTAGTCTAGCCATTTTCTAGAAAATTTAAATATTAATTTAGCCTTAATTGCATGATGAATTGACACCAAACTTGGTAAAAAGAAGTTTTAACACTTATTTTACAAGATTAGGTTAAAATATTTGTGCTTTATATATAGTCTTACCAATTTGTATAATATACAGGTTAAAAAAAATGTATTGGATTTTATATATACCAAATTGAAATATATTTTTTAATTAAAAATTTTACTATGGTATAAAAATCTGAAAACATAACTTTATTAAGAATGCAGTAAAGAGCGAAATATATAAAGACTGTAAAAAAAATTTTATTATTAAGCGTAAAATTCCTAAAAGTATTTTATTAATCTTTTAGTATAAAAAGCTGCGGCATAATTTTTAATCAAAAAATCTATCATTATACAAAATCAATGAGACTAGACATATATTTGATTTAATTAGATGATCGACCACCTCAACTTAACATATATATTATACCTGCCAGATAGAAACTCACTGAATGTTTATCTCCATCCAAATTCAAGTACGAATTATAATAATAAAATACAACATTTAAAATTTTAAAGTTATTTCTACCGACATTCATTTATTTGAAACTAATCAGCAATATTACTATTTTTCTGTTGAAATTTCTGATTAGCACTATTAAAACTTATAATATGCATTTCTAAAAATTGTTTGTAATTTATTTATCCACTTGAACCAGAATTTGAGTGTATAGAGGGTATGCATAGAAAGGCCTGACTAATAAAACTCATTATATATGAAAAATTAACAGCTTAATTATAATATTTGTTAGAAGTTATACACTCTCAATATAAAAATATATCCTTTAATTTTTGATATTTATAAAAAATTAAATTGTTATCACTATTATCAATACAGATCTCTTGGTTTTAC